GTGCAATACGTTGGTAAGTATTACAAAATGATCAAGGCTCCTGGGAGTCTCCAGCCAGAACGAAACTCACCGGAATAAGATGCAGATACGAGACGTCATCATTCAACAGTGCAGCGGTAGATCCAGAGACGTATGAACTTATTCCAGGTATACTCGCTATCTTCTTCGAAAGAAGACTCGAGATAATGGCTTCACCGACGGAGATACCGACCGCTCCGCCGACCGTACTACCAGCAGAAATTAGGGGGCGACCACACTTTCGGCCAGTAACCGCTGACGTACCGAAGGAACATGAAAGCACTCGAAGCAGTGGCCATGTCTTTCATTGGCATTGCTGCTTGAAGAGCGATAATGGGAACCTGGAATAAGCACCCAACACCAAGGGTCGCGACGAATGGGTACAATTCCTTCTCCGCACTGAGGATGGTGCCTGGATGAGACCACGAAGTCAACTGCGAGAATGTATCCCATACTTGTTTGAGTTATAATCCAGCATAGTCATGAGACCCCATCCGAGTGTCATCATAGCATACGCCGACCATATTATGGGGCGGGACTTGCCGGTTCGAGAATTGATGACTCCCGCGACTATGGACATAATAGCTGTGCCCAGTGAGAAAGGAATCATCCTAGAGGAATTCTTAGGTCAGAACGGGAAGGCTCCATGGAGTAATATCCCACCTGATTCCTGCACCAGTGGCACTAGCACCAAGGACTGCATTGTATCAGTTCATATTCATGAAAGCAAAAGTGACCCGATCATGAACCTTGATAATAAAGTGGAAGATAACTGAAAGCGGGTCGATGGATGCTTGTGAGACATACTACATGCAGAACATTAGTACTCACTATGTAGCGGTGAAGAACGTAATAGCATGAAGAAATGCGCTGACGAGCAACACTGCAGTTGTACGAGTCTTGAATCCGTAAGTTGAATGGACGTCGCATAGTGGTCACTGCATACCTTGAAAAGGCGTGCAGGCACAATTGCAGAGCGTGTGGTGAATACTTCATTGACGCCTCCCAGAACAAGTAGTGTACATCCAACAACGAGCAAAGCGATAGTCTTGGCATCAGACCCTGATGATATGCCCCTCTAGTTCCAGCTGTCTGCAAGGAGATGAAACACGTACAACTTGTCTGACTGAACTGGAATCCGAGAAGTAGACACACAACACCCCCGACAAAAGAGAAGAGCCCGACAAAGTCAAGTTCTGCAATCTGCTCGTGGATAGGGCGACTTTGGTGTGGGTTGAGGTTCAGGAAGATGAATAGTATCACTGCAGAAACGCCACCTGTCGGCCTGTACAAGCGGAATTAGGACATGGACGTAATCTTGGGTCAGCTACTGAATGCTCACAAATTGATGAAGAAACACCACCGCCACGAAACGTGTTCCGTGAGGGCCTGCAGAATTCAATCCTAATGAGGTACGAAAAATCACTTGAGAACCAGGACTCACACCGCCCAACAGTGGACCAATGACACTGCATACCAATCAGCAAAACCTGGTGTCAAGAGGAACAAATACCTGCCTAGCCACACCAAAGGTAGCACCGACAAAACCCCCGTATCGCCCTCGACTGTGAAGAATTAAAGCTAAGCAAAACCGAAAAAGAAAGAGAAAGTGGCTAAGAACTTACTCCTTCAGGGGAACGATATCTGATATTGTGATAATCACAAGTTGAATAATCCCTCCACCACCGATGCCCTGTACTGCACGAGCAACGATCAACCATATCATGCTCTGGGCTGCCCCACATAACGCTGATCCAAGCTAGTGACAAAATTCAGACAACACTCAGGGCATAGAAAACGAACGGAAGAACACCCTACCAAAAAGGTACATATTGAAGTATAGAGTATCGGCTTACGACCTACATATTATGGTTGATGGGTGACAAACACAAAAGTTAGCTGGAAAGGTACATACCAAACATATTGGATAATTTCCCATACAGAGGGCCAAAAGCGCCGGCCGACAGCATGTACGCACTGAGCAGCAACGGCACTGTCATCAACCAATTTACGAAAGTAAGGGAAGAATGCACACACCTGCCGACCCAGCTGTACTGACTACCCCCACCAAGTTGTGCTACTATCGTTGGGAGTGCAGTGGCGACAATAGTCTACTCTCCGATGCCTATCAGGGACATGGATTCTGAAGACACACCGGGAACTTACCTGATCCAAAGCCGCTAGGAAAACAGAGCACATCAGGCCTAGAAATACAATGCCCAATCGATTTTTGGGGAGAACGAGCTCTTCCTGGTCCTGCCATGATGCTCCCGGCGGAGCCTTGCGCCCAGAATTCTCTGTTTGCGTCGCTGAGGCCATAAAACCCGAATGATGGAGTCAGAACTAGGACAGCTTATTAGTGGGAGTGTTATTTTATACGGCCATCATTACAAAGGCAGGTGAGAAATTGGGGGTATATGCGTTCCGGGTGGAATGCCGACGACCAACGTCGACTTGATCACTATGGGATGTTCCGCCTTTGCTATAAATATTCACGTTGCCTTGATAAGTGTCTCTTCCCCTAACTGCTCGCGGTCCAAAATCAGGCTGACTCATAACGAGGTATCTCCGTGACAAGCTGGCTTGGCATATACCAAACACGACTCCTAAAGGGGTACTGCGCCAACGAGATGATCGTATCATGTCACCCAAACGATAGACAGTTCTACATGCCGATAGTTGTCAGCCTTGCAGGGATCCAAGTCAGAGACCTACATGACGTTGGTAATCCAACGCTAGGTTGCCTGTGTTGGAAATATGACTATATGTTCTGACATCTAGATTGATCCAGACTTACACGTGTATCAACATGTTGTTCATCACATGACATTCCTTAGCAATCAGCTCCACAATGATGTCATTCTGACATCATATTATACGTTATATTCCATGACCTTCTGCACTATTCCTTACTATACTGAGTAGTAGTTTCCTTTTACGCTCTTGGTCCGTGCGTACCTACTCATGTATATAAACTCGGGGATTTCTTCCTCAATCCCTATCGAATCAAGCATTCGTTCTTCACTTGTCTACTCGACAACTGAGTCCCTCAAAGCTATCAAGAATTTTATCAAAGCTACTACCGTTCTGAATTAAAGGCAAGTGTTCTTGCCATTGCTCTTCGTTTCTCCCGTTCCTCTGCGCAATAGGTTATGAGCCCCGCCTATAACTAGGTGGCAAGCTATTTGTGGTATTTGCATAGAGCGATCACTGCCGATGGGCACATCACTATGGATATCGTAGGCCTAGATGCGCTAGGATCAGTAGTAGTAGTCTTCGCTGTCGCTGTAGTTGCCGGCCTTAACCAGGCCGTTCTTTTACTTCATTATGGTGGATATGATCCGATTCATCTACGGGAGCTGGCTATTCGCTCCGTAGCTTTTTGGCTCTCTTTTCTAGGTCTCTCTGCCTGGTGGCGAAGGCGGCAGTTACTGCTTCAAGAGCAGATACTCTGCAGGATGCTTTTACAGCGCCTTATACTTCGTCCGCCGACTCCTCCTCCTCATTATTTACATTTTCACCTTCCCGACATCGACCACGACGCTGACTTAGACCCTGTTCCGCCGTACGACGAGGTTGAAGCGCGTGACCCGCCTTCTCCTCGACGTGCACCGACTCCTCTTCCTGAGGAAGTTGCGGCTGTCAACGAGTTGGTTAATCCAGCTGTCGTTCTCGCTGTCGAAGACATCGCTGAGTTCGATCTGCTTTAAACTCGTTTGCTTTGTCGCAGAACAAGGGCTAACTATTTGTTCTAAAAGATGTCTCTCGTCGTCGCCAAGAAACTCGAACTCGCTATCGCTGAGCAGCGGGATGGGATGTATGAGGTAAAATGGAGGAAGTACGCGGTTAAGGAGATCATAGAGTATATTGAGATGTTGTATGTACGGGATTGCGCCAGTTGGAGAGAGGCGGTTCCGTCGAGCGTTGGGTTCTTCAAGAAACCCAATCCTGCGACATACCTCGTCCCTATTGACACCGTGGAAACAGCATGGCAGAATATGCCCCACTTTCCCGGGTTCGAATTACCCTACTTCTATCCAGGGATCCACCTAGCCTATCACGGCTACCTTACCGATTTCTTTCCCAAGCTCTCCCATACGTCGTCTCTGCACGCTATAGCTAACTATAACGGTTGCGATCTTCCCAGTGCCTACTATGAAGATCCTGCCCTCGACTCTATTCCCGCCTTTACCGTCACCCACGACACATTCGTCTATATCTACTACAACGTCCATCCCCTCTACGACCCGTGCTTCAACAACCTCATCCCTTCTCTCCGCATTTGGAACCAGCATCTTGAATACCATTTCCGAGGAGTTTGGGATGACGGGTCAACGGACGTCCAATGTGTCCCAAGATGGTATCGGGAACGACGCCGCGGAGGAGACCGCTTTGATAGCAGTCTCTTTAGGTTTATACGACGGTATCAGGATGAAGCAGATGTGGGAGTATCCCTGCGATATAACTCTTCTAACCGGCATCTTCAGTGGGGTATCTCACCCGCTGACGCAGACTTCGCTTACTGGCCCGGAACAGAAGAGATTTTACGCGATCTCAAACGTGTCATGGACGACACTTCATTTGACTATCTCGCAGCTCCCCGACCTCGCGGAATTCGCACCACGGCTCTTAGCCGAGCTCGTGAAGCTCAAGCCGTACGCCAGAAGTTATCCTCTTCCAAATACGCTGGACGCACCATACGCATCAGGCAGCCGAAACCATTCGGCAACTAATACGTGTACATTGTACGAATCTTATAACGTTTTTGAAATTCTTGTTAAAGATAAACATTTTCGTCATTCTGAGTGCCTTGCCATACCTTATTCGTGCGCTGATCCCTATTTGGGATTTCGAGCGGACAGAATTCCATTGCATGATTGCGATTGGAGTTTTATGGCTTATCATTATTTCCCTCCGTTAGACTTCTTAAGTCTAGAGTGGAATAATTCTTGCATCTCATCTTGGAGATTCGCTGAGAAAGGGACAAAGGCACTGGAAACAAAATTGGAGAAGAGACGAAATCCTCGTCTGTATTACAAGAATACCTGTACACGAAAACGCCGTCCATCTCAAGCTGCTAGAGCATCCGCTCGTAGACCAAAAAGCAATCGGATTCATGAATTAAATCCTCCATCCACTTCCATTCATCCGACTCACTCGTATTTATACGAACATCTGCTTATGGACTTTTGACACTAGATGTCCGAAGGTCTTTCGAAGCAGATCCCCAAACTTAACGGTTTGAACTGGGCCTCTTGGTCGGTTCTAATGAAAGCATATATGCAAACACTTGGTATCATGGGAATCGTTGACGGCACCATAGCCTTACCGGCTGCACCCCAAGCGGCAATTGATCAGTGGCACGTCTCTGACACACGTGCACAGGGAATCTTAACCTTATATTGCGATCCAATGATCGCAATGTCAATCGATGGACACGCGACTTCTCATGCTAAATGGGAAGCTCTTAAAAATGCATACGGAGCTCCTTCGGCCATGACCACATTCATGGAATTCCAGCGGCTCATCCACATCCAAATCAAACCGAAGGATGACATAATGCAAAAGATTGCGGAAATCACTATGCTCATATCCGCAATCAGCGCTCAGGGCATTGCCCTTAATGACAAAATGAAAGCGCTAATCTTAGTCCATTCGATGACACAAGCTTGGGAACAAGCACCGGTTAATATTCTTTCCTCTATCGCCGCCAATCAACTTTCTCCTGATACGGTCATACCTCGCATGAAAGAAGTCTGGGCCCACAAATCGGGCAAAACTATGCTTCCGCAACAGGAAAAGGCTGGGTCGTCATCGACCACAGTCAAACAGGAATCTAATTCTCTTCTGGCACGCATGAATAAGCCGCCACTCTGTCAAGTTTGCAGAGGCGCACACAATACTTCCGATCATCAATCTGGATCTGGATCAGGATCCTTTCGCGGTAACCGTGGAGGTCGCGGAAGAGGTCGCGGAGGACGTGGACGTGGACGTGGAGGTTATACTCCCTATCAGCAAGCACCGCAGCCAGGTTCTGGTTCACATGGCCGAGGCCAAAACCGCCGCCGAGGCAAGGGCAAAGCCCGAGCCCACAACTTAGAAGTCGAAGGTGCAGAACCTATCGACGCGGCTTACATAGAGGAGCTTAATCAAGACTCCTAATATGGCCAGAACTCCTATGAACCTGAGTACACTGCTCAGGGTCAGCAGTTTTATGAAAACGCTGCTGCTGCCTTTGAAGCTGGTGACTTTGATATCACCGCTATAAATATCCCGTCTCGCGAACCCTCTCCGGAATATTCTCTCCCGGATCCTACTCCGGTCGAACGAGTCTATTCTTCCGATCTCAATACCTATCTCGGACAACATGTCATCACTGACACCGAGATGTATGATCCTGATCTTTCCCACCAAGACTTAACCATGGCGATGGAATCTGTTGGGGATTCCCCCAATTATCCAGTTGATGTCACAACCGGAAACCTTGCTCCTTGGTATCTGGAGGAAATTCAAAATTTCCAACCGGATCAAGTTGAGTCAGTACCGATTCGTGTAAACATTCCCGGCTCTAATATCTGCCAATGTTCCATTTGTCGCCGAACAGCCAACCCTTGCAACCTGCTGGAGGTTTCCCTTCGGGAACCGAAGCAACAGGAGTACTCGGACTCTCATCCGAGGAAGATTTCCCTTCCCCCTGCTGAGCAGGACGGGACATATACAAGTGGTTCCCTCGAACCCTCAATACGAATGGGAAATACCGTTTTGGCTGGCGAGAATTTGGTGGAGGACCGGAATGTTAAGGATAATGGCAATGCGTCTGAGACGCAACAACGGACTATTGATCTCTCTTCCCCTCGATTTCGAGGATCGAATTGTAGAGACGGAGGATCTCTCCGAAAATCCGTACTGTTAAAAGCCTCTAAAAAGAGAGCTAAACCTATGTCATTATCTCAGTTTCACGAATCTGTGCCAGAAATACCTGTTGTACGTCCTTTTCACATAAAACATAATCCAGACATCGAGTATGATCCCAACGAATCTGCCTCTGGGTACTTACCCATGCAATTCGATGGCCATGCTTTCGATTCTTATGACTGTTACCCTTTTGGTGTGACATCATATTCGAATCTAAAAAGGAACCTTCCAAAGGGTGAGTCGTTATGGATGTTGGATTCTGGAGCATCACACCACGTGACTCCTTTTAAAACTGATTTCTTGACCTATCGAGAATTTAAAAATCCACCTTTGGCCTCTACTGCAGGTCTTAAAAAGGTTCAACTTCTCGGTCAAGGAACAGTGGTTCTTCGCCTGGAAAATGG